ACTTTGGTAATGTAAAATATTTTCATGGAGGTGCTTATGCTGATAAGCAGTTCTCATTATCAGAGACGCCAACAAATATATACATTTACTGTTTCTATTATTATTATTATTATTATTATTATTACAGAAACGAGAAGAAATAAAATATATTTGGCAAGATTGGAACGTATTTCAATGAAAATAGGACTTAACACCAACTTCACTGTGGATATAATAAGCACATTAGTTCTTTTGTTCTTTTTATGTCAAGCAATGTGGGCATGAACTCCTGTGTACCTTAAGTACTCTTAACTATATATAGTCCTGTCTACATTCCATATGTATGCAAATCTACAAGAGCTATCTGCAAGAGTTCCCATGTAAACGGAGTTTACAGGTACTACTGCTTTTTAAAAAGTTCGTCTTCTACACTATTCCAGTTTCGCACAATAAATTTATAACTCAATATATTTGTAAAACCTAGCGGTGCTCAACAACACATACTTCCTCGCATTATTTGTAACGTTAGCAATTTGCGAAAATTGAGAGAGTTCAATGTAAATTACACCATTTTCATGAGGGTACTTCGCACTCTCCTATATAAACGTAAAGATAAAAATCGGAATTGAGGACATCTGGTTCGCTTTACTTCACGCAAAATTGCGCGAAAACCACTCACATGTTGAAAAATGTACAAAATGATCTCATTGAAGATCTATTTTCAAGAACAAATTTCATTACAAAAAAAAACATCTATCTTCAATATTGCAGTTGTAGAAAGACGCCGCAAGTAGCTCAAACGTTTGCGAATTTCAAAAATGTAGGGAATTCAACAAAAAAAACAGACCTATGACATTTTAATGAACGTACTTTGCTCAATCCGATTAAACAATTTAATCAAACAATTTGGCTCTTTTTAGCAAAATTTCAAAATGGTCTGGGGTTTTCTTGTAAAGAACTCCCTAAAGTACTCCTAAATTTTGAAATATACGTTTCAAATTCGATGGATAGTGTCATCTGCCAGATCGATCACGTAATTTTCGTAAAGGAAGGGAGCACATAATTTTCATATTTTAGTCGCTTCTAATTTTAATTCTGAGTATTAAAAAAAATTAAAATATAGCCCAACCAGTTACTAACTATGTAATCAGCATGCACCTCTTCCGAAAGTTGGATACCAATTCATTAAGAGGACAGACGGCTTTTGATATTGACCAAGTATTTTTAGAAACCCTGTGCTACACCACGATTGTGCTGGCATAGATTTTCAGATTACATTCAAAAGATTTCGACGCTCCTCTTTACCACCGATATTTAATAATTTTAATTTACTTCGAAATAAATTTTCTTGGAAGAATATGATTGTTTAGATTTCTATAAATAATTTAAAGTTGTAGAATGATACTTATGTTTGAACGCTACCTCTTGAAATAATTTACAGTTTTATTAAAATTGAGTTATAAAAAGAATATAGCTGAGAAGAAAGTTGATCATTTGCTAATACCAAATGCAGTTGATCATATAATTAATGTGATATGAAGTTTGGAGGAGGGTACCTATTATATACGCACCCAAAACAAAAACGTCAATTTAGTGGTTAGATAGGGCATTGAGACGTTTGATTCTATGCGCATTACACATAGATTCAGAATAGAGCCGAATCACAGACTGTTTGAAGAGATCTAATGAGTTTTCTTTTATAAGAAAAGTATCAAGTGGGTTGGTGTCCGGGTTGGGAACAGGTCCAGCATTCATCCGAGGGAGGCCACACGCTGGCCGAATAGTTGGCAACAGATCTCACAATGGTGCGTCACCCAGGCGACGAAGTTCACGACTTTGGTCGCAGAAGGCTGGAAAATACACTTTGAAGAGTCGAATGCGGCTTAGATACGGACAAGTAGAGAATTTAAATAAATACTCTATGGTATCTTGAAAGTTCCTGAAATTAGCGAAGTATTTTCAGTATCTTTGTAAAATAGTAGTATCTTTCTAAAATAGTAGTATCTTTGTAAAATAGCACATCAAATTCACCAAATGAGAAGATATATCGCCGTGTAATGAAGAGTTCAAAGCAATATCAAGCTGTTCAGACTGTTTTACTTTCTCGTTTAAGTGGTATGGTCATAACTTACAGTGAGTTACGTGACGATGAGACAATCGATGACAAAATTTTGAGGGAAAGGGTACGCCCGCATAAGATGGTAGAATGTTCCCCCAAACCCAATGACATATGAGTAATTATACTATAACTATAATAAAAATAATTCTTTTGGAAGGTTTCTTAATCCTCAAACCACCATCTACATCCCTCTACAGCAAAAAACGTGTTTGTTTTAATTTTTTTCGACAACTTAGCACTATTTTATCTGATTGAAAAAAATATAACAAATTAAAAAGTAATTGATACTATCAGAAAAATATTTTTATTGTTTCTCACCACCAAATTCAAACGTAAAAATATATATTATTGAAAAAAATACCTAAAAATAATTTTTACTGTGTCTTAGAATCCTGGAAAAAGCTTCAAAACATTCTCGAAGGTTCTCCTCAAATTACCAGCTGTTGTCAACTTTTTAAGATTTTTTGGACTACTGGGCTATCGTTAAAAAATTAAATACCATTTTACCATTTTCTTATATTTAAATCAACATGAATTTAAAATACTTTGACCTTCCTCCAGGAGAGTCGGGCATTATGGGGTTCCCCTGATACAAAAAAAGTTGTTTTTGAAAACATCTCTACTTCAGTCCGTCTGTTTTGTGTCCGTCTATTCTTCTGCCCGTATGTCTGCCTATCAGTCTGCTCATCAGTCTGTGTACAACACTAGCGCCTAAACCATACAAAGGATTTTCCCCAAAATGAGTATTCTGTGATTGATATGGCCTGGAAAGAATCTCAATTTTTTGTAAGTACTTCACGTGAAACCTGCAGAACACTTTCAAAATTTTCTCAAAATTCCACTCAATTTTCAGTTTCTAATCTTCGCTAAAAGAGAGTAAAGTTCACTTTTATTACACGTCTTATTTTATATTTTGTATTTTTGAAAATTGCAAAATATTAACTTTTATAGGCTTAGTTCAAATCTCTGCCGAGGCAAATATTTTTTGCGGGTTGAAAATACCTGCAGAGGTATGTGTGAGATCAATAATATACGATCACCAAATGAAGTAGATCATCATTAGCCGCGAAAAGAAACACACTCTAATTCAAATTATCGACATTTTTACATTGGTTCCGTACGTGTTACAATATTACATAAGAGTCGCAAATACTGCTAGAATATAAGCCCTATTGCAGAATCAATAGAATATCTTTGAGCAGTGTGCATTCCTAAAGATTTCTACATTTCTGTTACTTTATCTGTAAAAATAACTTCTTCTGCTTTATTTGTTGAACTGATAAACAAGTGTATGGATGAGGTAATCACTTATCGTTAGTTATAGGCTATTTAAAAAATAGCAGGTTTTCTCCACTATAATCCGGTGGGAAAATAATGTTTCTACATTCTGTATCTATTCGTAAGCAAGGACGGCATGAAGCATAAAATCGCAAAAAAACCGTCGGCTTTCAGACTGCGCCATCGTAATTGCGTTACTTCTCCCACTCACCGACCTTGAGGTTCACATGTAATTCCTCTTGAACACGCATTTTTATGGAGAACCGTCGGAGTGTTTTCCAAGGAGGAGCCTTACGATGAGCTTTGCACGATGCTAATATTTCGGACAGGTTTCAACTAAAATATGGTGCTTTAGGACATTTGTAACATCTGCACCATATGTAATATAATTTACGCGGCATTAGATGTTACAAGGGCATAAGGATAGTGATCAAAATGGGTTTTAGCACACAGGCGGCATGCCTTAAGCACTGTGACAAATTTAAGAAATTAAACATAAAAAGAAGACTTCGACGCTTTTTATTGCAGATTTATGTTTTCCGTGCTTACGTGTAATTTACATTATTGTATGTGACATTCCTGTAACTTGAACCATAATGGATTCATGTTTAGTATTTATCGCTGCCTTTGACGACAAATAGGTTTTTTCCGATTGAGAAGCGGCAGTTTATACAAATGCCATTGACTGATCTAAAAAACCACGATTACAATTCAAGAAATATTTTTTACACAATCACTGGATCCATATGATTCATTGGATCTATATTTATATTCTTCCTTAGAGCAAAATCTTACGTCGCGTAAAGTCTTCAAGATTCTGTATGTGTTTTAAATAGCTCGATCAGATTAACCTAATCATAGTGGATCTTCAAGGTCACGGGTTGGAAGGGGATACCAAAACTTTAAGTCGTAACGAGCCTCCCTATTGGATGATAGTTACCCCCTCTCCATCCAGCTCATCATCTTGAAGTGCCACTAAGTTTAAATTGGCGTATTTAGTTCTGCGCCATGAAGTGAAGCGTACGGAATTCCTTTATTTGACGTTAGGTTTAGTTATAGTTCTCCCGTTAGATGACTGGTAGTAAATAATGTCAAGACATTAAGAATGGGCTTCCTACTTTGCAGGGTGTTGGGACTTGGCGCGCTTGTTGTGTACACTACAACACGAATTATTAATTTAAAATTCGAGTTAGCATCGTTTAAAAATTAAAAAGAGAAAGTTGTGTAGACGCCTATTCGCTGTCTTCCACATGTTTCTGATGATGTCGTCTGTATAGACTAAAAACTAATAGGATAAATCTGTTTTTGATGTTTTTGGTTATTTATATCGCCCATCCTGGTTCCTTGATCCTTTCAGCAAGTTTACAAGTGTTTGTGTATGTGATTCCCCTTTGCTTCTTTCTTCTGTACATATATGTAGTCCACTAAATGTATTCTCGTGCGCTACGTGGGGATGTAGTTATTAAAAATATAATCTATTATTCTCCATTTTCCCTGGGCAGAAAGTCTGACTGGAAGGGCATGGCAAGGGATAACAGCTAAAATCTGTACGTGATTTACATTGGAACATATTTTTTAAACACGGTATTGAATATTCTATTGTTTGTATTCTTTCTTATATTAGGGAGGAGATCCCATGCCGCCGTGCCGTGTTGAGAGGCACGCGCCGCCGCTTCATCCCGGCACGCCTACGCGCAACGTTCGAGGCGCCGCCTGCGCCTGCCCAGTCGCTGCACATCGAGACGGGGCCGCCGCGCACCTGTTGTGGTGGCTGCGCCGTCGCGTTGCCCTAACGCACCCTCAGCGCAGCGCTCGAGGCACCGCCGTTTGCGCCTGTAGCGAGGAGTCTCTGCGTGACGCCTATCTGGGCGCCAGTGAAGTCGTAGACTTCCGCGGCCTGAGTCGTGTGCGTGATCTTGGCTGTCCGGGTGACGCCGCGTCGAAGGCAGTGTTGCCGACGTTTCGACCATCTTGTCGTGGTCTTCCTCAGGGCTGGTGTGCAATACGGCATACTAGCCGTGAGTAAGACCACAAGAACATGGTCGAAACGTCGGCAAAACAACCTTCGACGCGGCATCACCCGGGCAGCCAACATCACGTACCAGGGCGCCACTTCATTCAGACGCCCCGCGACAGACCCGGCTCAACCATTGGTTGTAGTTTGGTTTTTGGTTTTGTAGTTTGTTTAAAGAAAAATAAATGTTGTTTCCATTTTTACAAAAAAGTAAAGCATTTCGACTGGATTTCGTTTCAGTTTGAATGGTGATTTTCAGCAGGAGCAGGACCTGGATCCCATCGTTACCCGGTAGCAGGAAAAACAAAATAAACGTATGTGCTCATCCCAGGTTGTGGGCGTGTCGTCAAAATATATACTCACTCATACACACACACACACACACACACACACACGCGCGCACACGCACATACACACGTATAAACTTGGTTACACTTTACGAAAAATAACGGAAGGCCAGTCGAGAGCTTTAGTTTGTTCCTGCAAAGAGAGTGTTACCGTGGGGGAGACAGTTAAAAAGGAGGAAAAGCTATTAGTGGGCTTGTAGGTCGGCTCTGTGTCTCATCTTTCAGCAGTTACGTCCACCTTTTGGGGGAATTCAACAACACTACCTACGACTAATCACTTGAGCGCCGAAATAGCTAGTCGAGGTTGCCAAGGCTGAAGGGCCGTAGCTATCTTGGCTTGAAGGGGCGCGGGTTAGAATCCCGCCCCGCTTTTGGATGTTTTGGATGTTATTATGTGTTCCCCCACCGTTATCCCAGAGTTAAATGTTACAGTGGTCACTGTATGACTGAGCAGTTGAAAAGCGACCTTTACAAAATTACTTAAGCAGTTGACGCACCCAGAAACAAGTACTTCCTCACAGGGCACACGATTGGTGAAACTACTACTCATAACTAGTCCAATCGCATTATTCCGAAATTTAAGTAATATGAATGTTTAAATATTATTTATTAGGAGCAGAGTATCGTACTATTAGGTGCAGAATTCTTAATGTAATACATAGAGTAAAAAAGTATCTTCATTGAAAAAGGTACTAGTTTTTAGAGTATACAATGATATTAGAAGTATTTTTTTCAATTTTATTTAATAACATATTTTCAAACAATAGCAAATCGAATATTTTATTATGAATATACAAAATAAATTTACTTTATCCCACATTACGCGAGTTGCGCCAATGATTGAAAAACTAACAAAATATTGGAACATTGTAAGAAAATCATATTCGACTTGCCTTTGAAACACGTTGAATATATTTTTATTTTCTCCTGATATTCTTTGCTCCCTTACAGTATTTTTCCATCAAACATCTATAACTGGATTTGCCCAACCCAAACAAATTGCAAAATGAATTGAGATATACAAAATACTTCAAGGGAAAATTCGAAGTAGTTTAGTTGATACAGTAATTTATTTAAAGACATTACATACTTATAAATAGGTGGCCATGTTTCTGTTGACGGAAATCAAACTTAATACTACGACGTGAACTTCAGGACTCATGTGTGTGGGAGACTGAAAGGAACGATGAATATTAAACACAGAATACTTACGTTAGGAATTGAACAAAGTCATGATTTGATACATATCTTATTTTACAATTTAAATTTTCAATATGTTTTGTAAGATTAAGTAATCAAGAAGGAATAGACGACCAATGGTGACTTGTTGCAATTCCTTTGTAGGAATAAGTGATTATCTACAAATGGGAAAGACCGATATTGAAATAGATTATAAAGTGTTAAAAAAAACAAATGAAAGCGGATGGGACTTTCTTTAAAAGGGTGTAATTTTGTAAGACGGTATTTAGTCGCAAAAGAAAAGGCACGTGGGCGAGTCGGATGAAAATATCTTTCCAAGCTGGATAACCGGCATGCACTTTGTACAGAGCACAGTGTCTTGACTTAACCTTCCTCATTTCTAGAGACCCCCATTCTACTTTTTTCCTATATCTGTGGAAACTAAGTTTACTCGCTGTTCTTTGTACTCTATTCAAATATTCCTTTTGTGAATTTCTATAAGGGTCCCAACAAATCGCCCCCGTATTCCATTGATGGACGAACTGGAGATAAGTAGGCTAATTCTTTCGCTTTCGCAGTAATCTTTTTTAGTATTCGGTTTAGTGTTTTAGTATTTTTTGGTAAAGTAAAGTAGTAGTATAACTTAAGAGTTTGTTTGCAGAAAGGTTGAATAATTAATGGGAGGGATAAAGTTCAATTTCAGTTTTAATTTCCTTTAACTTTTGGTTAAGAAGGGATATGAATTGGTGTTATTATTCGGAAAATAGGACGTTTAAAAAATGGGGATAAGAAGTCAAAGTAGAAATGTTCAACACAGACATCCGCGAATTTGTTTATATGTAAATAGTTTGTGTTACCATTATTGTAATTAGGTTTAGGAATTTATAATTGTTAATAGTTTTTCTTTCATTTTGTTAACAGTAGAACACGTGGTTAATAATTGTATTGTATGGGCGGCAGTCCTAATTATAGAACTTCAAGAACATCTCGAAACAAGAAGAGAAGATTCCTGGAGGACTAAACATTCCACGCAGCGAAATTCCTTCTCGACGTCATCACAAGCTACATTACAACGAACTGCAAGCGCTTCAAAAAATGTCGTGAAGTTTAAATCATAATATATTTGTAAAGACATAATATTGATGTCTTGTAAATTCCTTAATAAATTGAGTAGATTGTTATCTTAATTAAAAAGCCATGTCAAAATCACTTTAATGAACTCTAATTATATAACCTGAAATATTATTTGAGTTTTCAGTAATTTTTTAAATATTCTATTGAAAAAGGCTCATTTGTTTGATAATTACATTTTGCAAACCAATCATTTGAAGATTGTATACATTCTCAGTGAACCCGATCTGTACTAGATGGTTCGTCGACTCATGTAAGTATTATTAATGAGCGTAGGCATTTAGGGAATCAACAGAAATTTATGAAACATTAAATATTATTGAGGAAATCATATTCTTTAGGAGTCATATGCGAGCGAAATCAGAGGCACGAATGAATTTACGACGAATGGAAAACGTTACAAATGGCGTGGCCAACGAGGGGAAACGTATAGAGAACGTTTTTGTATAAAATCGCTACTTAAAATAAACTGATTATTAGTGAAGCCCTATATTCGATACTTTGATACGATTATGACATATAATGCATTTATCCTTAATATATCATTTGAAGTTGATTGTTTTTGGAGATTTATAAATTAAAAATTTTGTTAATAAGCCATAATATTCAATATCCGGATTTATAGGTAAAATAATTTTAAAACCAATGGTATTGTAGAATGCCAAAGGCTTTCTTGTACTAGATAGTACCATTTTTATAACTCATGTATGCGTTTTATATTGTTCCGCACCTTATTCCAGCTGTCACCTTTCGAAGCCTATGATATTTACCATGACTTCCCACGTTACCGACAGGTTCCCTGGAAGAAAAGTCCTAAAAGCAATTCTCGCGCTCGAAGATCATGCTATGGTACCCTTTAAGGAGAGTTGCACTATTTAAACCACCATGGAGTAAATCACGGTTAAAGTCACATTTTAAAGTTGTTTTTAAGTTAGTATTTGCCCCTTCAAGCTAAAACCGCATCAAAGAATCTAACATTTTTTCTTCAAAAACTGCACACAAAAAAACTTACATAGCAAAACTACAATATTGATAATAGAATGTTTTATTTACATTATTCACAAAAAACTGTTTTTCAATATTACAAATCCAAATGAACAACTTTTACTTTCTCTCTACTGCGTATGCTGTACAGAGAAAGTATTGTAAAGTTGCGAAAAAAAACTGCGAATTTTCGACAGAAAAACCCTTATTTCCTAGCCCCCATCACGAAAAAAAGTCTTCAATAATCTTCTATGGTATCACCTCTGAAAAACATGCCGAGAAAATAAGATTTATTTTTCTTGGAGTACATGCATCTTGTAATGTTTGGTCCCTGAGAAGTCTGCACAAGAAGTATATCTTCGGTTGGCACCTAAGAGAAATTACGATCGAATGTTTACCTCACGTGGAATATATACACATACATATGTAGTGGAGATCACGACAAAGCATACTACAAACGAAATAGGAGACTAAATACATTTTATTACGTTTCTAATTGATCAAAGAATTAGTCAACCCGACTAGGAATCGAATATGGTTTACGCCCAGTTACTTTAGTAATCTAGGAGACGATTCCTGGTTGCAGAGATTAGTTCTTTGAACAGTTTGAAAGATATAAAAACATTTTGTTGCACAGTAACAATATATCAAGCAAACGTTTTCTGTACGGTGCTTATTTCCGACGTAATTGTTTATCCAATAAGATGGCAGAGTAGTGAAAACTTTTTATATTTCTCTGCCATAAGTTAATCTTTCGATTACGCCCTCCACTCTCGACCCGGATGAGACTGTACGTTACTTTCCATCTATGAAAGAACATTAACCCGCAATAAAAACACATAATGGGACATAATTGTCGGTGTCGTTTTGATTGTGCCACGGCTTTCGTAAAGAAGAGAGACTAGAGCGTCAGTTTGACTTTTCCTTTCCACGAAAAGTGGCTCAAGGCCAAGAAAGACGAGGGAATTTAGCATCCTTATCGATGGGAACACCGTAACGATACACAGGATTAAAGCTGTGGTTTCCAGCCTCTGTGGGATCAAGAACCGGTATGCAATTCTTTTTGTAATCAAAGGTAAAATTCCAAGAAACAAACGCATTAATATTTTTTTTAATCCATAGCGCAATTGATATGGACATTAATAATTAAACCTTAACATTTATTAACTGCCTATAAAGATAATTCATGGATTTTAGATTAGAATATACATTTTAATGCAGATTTTGCTTAAATTTATTATATTAACTAAAATAATGTGACGT